AAATTCCAATTCAGGCCAAAAATTGCATATTTCAAATCACAAACTCGGAACTTCAATTGAGCTGAGTTCTTCAAATCACAAGCTCTGCTGAACTTCAAAACCTCAGGTCATGAAACCTCTCACTTTAACTCTGATTCTTTGGAATTTTGAAGAAATAAAATTGATTTCCTCAATTCACAAAATTTTTGAGATATTTTAAACTGAATTTAAAACCAAAATTTTTAATTTCACAAAGTTATTGTGTTACTTTAAATTCAATATAAATGAAAAACTTTTAAAATGGCTAATTTTTTCAGTTATTTTAAAATTTGAATTTTTAATTGTTCCCTCCTCATCTGGATACAAATCCCAATGCTGGATGTGTTCAAGCACAAGATGAAGGGCGGAATTTCAATCCTGGGGTCATCCTGATTCCAAAAAGATATATGTCTATGTAGAGTAAGTCTGGCTCAAGTTAAAGGGGTTTCAGACACATGGATGAACAGACAAAATTTGCTACAGATATTAGATTTAAGGTTCTATAATTTCACCACTAGATTGACATATGGCCTAGAGGATTAAAGGTCTGGTTAAAACATTGCTAGATCCCTGGTAGCTGTGAGTTCAATCCATGTGTCCAATTGTGCTAAAGTCACACTGGTTCAGTAGAAGAAAGTGGCACAGAGCTTAATAAAACTGCTGAGTATAAAATAACTGGCAAAGTAAAGGAGAAGAGTTTGTTTCAAAATTCGAACAAGGTTTTTAAGTGAAGACAAACACCTCTTTTTCAACATAATTTCTTTCTTTGTCAATGCACTTAATTCACTACTTTGAATAGGGTGTACAGGTAGAATTAGCAGTTTAGAAGCAAAAGTGTTATAATGAGCTTCATAGTGCTTATAATATAAGTAAGCAACTTGTTATGACGTCTATATTAATTAGTCTGAAGACTGCCTCCAAATGGCTTCTTTCTCATATCTCTGACCTGGAACTCTTTATTTATAGTTATGGACTAGTTCATATAGTCACTGGGGATGTAGTATTTAGCTTGTTATATTCACTTTCACACAAGTATGGGAATGATATGAACCCACCTCTCCCCCAGCTGTAGTTTAAATATTAGGACAGACTGAACTCTCTAACCAATGTTGGCAACCCGTCTAGGTAAAGGAAAATTCTGAATTCAAAACCGTATGTAACTCAGGTGAAGCATATATTAAGCAACTGCCCCATACATCCGGCCTGGGCCACATCTGAGCTACGCTTGGAAAATCACTATTAAACAACTATAAAAAGGATTATAGAGTTCACAATTAACTGCAGTACATGATTGCAAACTTCACTGAGCTTGATAAAAAAAAATATCAGTTTTGGATATTATTCATATAGACTGGGCATTATGCATAAAAATTTCATATCAAATTTCAGCTAATATCAGTTTTTTTTAATCATTTTAACCAAAGGAAGCCAATAATGCCATCAGGATACAAGGGGTTACTAGGAGTGAAAGAGAATGAGAAGACTTTAGTGAGGAGAAGTGAGGAAAGGACATTAAAGGAATAGGTTTCAGGGGGATAGAATTTGGTGGTTAGTGTTGCATTTAAATCTTTGAAGATGATAAATTGCAGGGAAGCAAGAAAGAAGAAGGGAGTTCCACAGGTGGGAAGTGTGAGAAAAGAAACTGTTAGAATAGAAGTGGCAGTTGCATCTTGCTAGTTCAACAGTAAAAGAATAAAACCTAGTTGCTAAAATAATAGCACTTTTAAATTCATGTAGTCAAGGCCCTAGCGGAAAAAGGCTTATTGGAACAGTTTCCATAAAAATATTTATAGAAAAGATAGAGGGAAGCCACATCAAATCAGTGAGAAAGTGACTGAAGTTGAGATGCCAGATTCAGATCTAATACATTACAGACCCTTCTTTGAATTTTGTTGAGAATCTTGAGATGACAGTGGCAGCACCAAATTAGATATGGCTGCATTATTCAATGCATAGATGAACGGTAGATTTAAATATGCAAGATGAACTGTGATATGAAAAATTTTCTAGCACGACACACTGAACCAACATTCCTAGCAGTAGATGTAACAATTGATTCAATATAGTCACTCCACTTCATGTTAGTGGAAAATGTGAGCACAAACAGCATAGTGTTATCACTTGGAATTGAGCATCAGCCATGCTGAGCACAGGCTGAAAAGGTTCTCTGAAAGAAGTTTTGTTTTGGAAGCATTAAAATTTACAAGCCATTTTTCCCCACTGATTGGTGGTCCTTTTCAAGAGCAGTTGCCAGATTTACTTTGTCAAATCTGTCAGATTTGCTACTAAGACCGAAGTAAATGGTTGTCATCCACATAAATACCTACTTAGGAATTGATGATGCCAGCTTATAAGTTGTTTTAATTTGGTATTTATATTAATGAGAACATTTATTCTTTTTATCTTTATGGTTTTAAATAGTTTTAGTTCTTTAACATTTTTTTTGTTTAGTCTGTCCTCTCTCCTGAAGGTATTAATATCAGTTATACTGTTTTTCTCTCTGAATTCCTTATTACTACAATCACATGTCGATATAAAGTACACTTGTTCATTTTATTTTAACATCTTCCTAAATAAAACAATATTTTACATTGTTTTCAAGGTTTAGAATTTCCAATTAGACAAATTTTTTTTTACCCAAAAATCAAGACTTATTCATGATCAAGTGGCTTTTTACTGAGATTTCATCAGATGTAGTAAATCTTCAAATACTGTTTGTCTTGTTAGTTAAATTCTAAGCTAAAGTAAATGATTCCACTTACTTTTTTCACATCACCACCAGCTGTCCCTTAGTCCTAAATTCCAGTATGTGAAAATTGACTTTCTTTAATTACATTCCTAGTGGGTCAGTGTGACATGTGGTATCTTCCTGATATACACATGATAAAAATGGCCATTCTACAATGTATACTTGTGATAGCAGTAATAGCAAGGTTGGTAAAAAATGTTGAATTTGGTTGTATATCATGATAATATAATAGCTCTCACAAGTTCTAATTAGATACAAACTTAAAATTTGAACATCAAGTGGTTGCAATCAAGTAATTAATAAGATAGCTTCTTCATATTTATTTAATGCAGTGCAAAATTTTATGGAGCAATTCCAACATTTATTCTTCAAAATAAAGTCCATCATTCTCAGTGATCTTCTGCCAGCAATCAGCCAGCATAAGAATCTATCATAGATACCAGTATGCTGGTATCTCGGATAGATAGGTATCTAGCATCAGAATTTATCATAGATACCAGTATGCTGGTATCTAGGATAGATAGGTATCTAGCATCTGAATCTATCGTAGATACCAGTATGCTGGTATCAAGGATAGATAGGTATCTAGCATCAGAATTTATCATAGATACCAGTATGCTGGTATCTAGGATAGATAGGTATCTAGCATCTGAATCTATCGTAGATACCAGTATGCTGGTATCAAGGATAGATAGGTATCTAGCATCTGAATCTATCGTAGATACCAGTATGCTGGTATCTCGGATAGATAGGTATCTAGTATCTGAATCTATCGTAGATACCAGTATGCTGGTATCTAGGATAGATAGGTATCTAGCATCTGAATATATCGTAGATACCAGTATGCTGGTATCTAGGATAGATAGGTATCTAGCATCTGAATCTATCGTAGATACCAGTATGCTGGTATCTAGGATAGATAGGTATCTAGTATCTGAATCTATCGTAGATACCAGTATGCTGGTATCTAGGATAGATAGTTATCTAGCATCAGAATTTATCGTAGATACCAGTATGCTGGTATCTAGGATAGATAGGTATCTAGCATCTGAATCTCTTGTAGATACCAGTATGCTGGTATCTAAGATAGATAGGTATCTAGCATCTGAATCTCTCGTAGATACCAGTATGCTGGTATCTAGGATAGATAGGTATCTAGCATCTGAATCTATCGTAGATACCAGTATGCTGGTATCTAGGATAGATAGGTATCTAGCATCTGAATCTATCGTAGATACCAGTATGCTGGTATCTAGGATAGATAGGTATCTAGCATCTGAATCTATCGTAGATACCAGTATGCTGGTATCTAAGATACATAGGTATCTAGCATCTGAATCTATCATAGATACCAGTATGCTGGTATCTAGGATAGATAGGTATCTAGCATCAGAATCTATCGTAGATATCAGTGTGCTGGCTTTGAATCAAAAAACTGTAAACAAGCTTCCTTCATTTCATAAAAAATTCACTGGTTGCAGAAGAAGTATGCCACTGAGTGGAACAGACCATAATCACTCGGTACGGCATTGAGACCAAATGTTGGATATGAATCCATCTGCTTGAGCTTCTCTTTAGTCAACCTTGCAGTGTATGGTCTTGCATTGTCTTGCTGAAACAAAGTCCAACCTCAATTGACCAAAACAGGATACTCCTTTTTTAGTTTGTCGGTGTAGCTGCTGGCAATATAATTTAGCATTGATGGCGCGACCATGTGGAACAAACTCAAAATGCAGTACTCCTTCGAAATTCCGTGAGACAGACATCAAGATTTGTTGTTTTCTTTCTGTTTCCTAATTTTCTGGCCAACCTAATATTTAAGAATGTTTTTTCTCTAAAACTGATAAATATTGAGATTAAAAAGATCTATAAAATTATTCTTAATATTAGCAAGTTGTGATAGCTGTAAAAATATCACAGATGTATTTGTGGTATATTCTTTAGTCAATAAAATATGATTGATTGATTGGTTTGTTTTCTATAGCCTATCAACCCTTAGAGAGTTTATTTAAAGCCCAAAACTATTCTAAGAATTATTTTTCAAGATAATAGTGATTTATTAAAACAAGTTTTAATAATTAACCCATAGCTGGAGGAAGAAGAGGTGGATTCATATCTTTCCCAAAGGTATTTGCACTTATGTGAATATAATGAACCTAACTGAAACTAGAACCTGATGCTTTGATTAACAATTCCAAGCCATTATCCATTACACCATCTGCACATCCAAATTTACAGCACCAGATATTTCCAAGCAGTTACCCATCTAGGTACTGACTATGCTTGATGTTGCTTAACTTCAGTGATCATATAGGAACTAGTGTTTCAATGTGATATGGCTAAAGCCAAAATATGATCAGCTTCATTTCTGAACATAACACAGCTTTACACTAGATAAGAAAATTGAATTCATTCATTAAAACAAATAATCATTTATATAAAAATTAACAGAACAGAAATGTAATTTGTTATGTAAAAAATAATGTGGTCAGTTTTATAAGGTTTCATTACTGGAAATAAAAAGAGTACTGCTGTTATGCAATATATGGCAGTGAATGCTGAACAATCTTATCACAGATGAAAAAGAGACTTCAGGCAACAGAAATGTGGTCCAACAGAAGGTTTCTGAGAATGCCATGGACTGAACACATGAACAACAACAAAGTTTTGGAGAAAATAGAAACAAAAAGGAAAACTATAAGTAGCATCAGAAAGCAACAGTTGAAGTTTCTAGGGAAGATAATGAGGAAAGAGGGCTTGGAAAATTTGACACACACAGGACATATTGAAGGCAAGAGAGACAGAAGAAAGCAGTGAATAAACTACCTAAGGAACTTATGTAAATGGTTGGCAGAGGAGGGATTAGGAGATATAGCAAAAAGATAAAATTTACTCAGGAATACAAAGGACTGGAAGTTGTGTAGAGCCATATTCGCTCACATCCTGAAGGGATACGGCACACAGAAAAAGAAGAAGATTATAGAATAAATATTTTAAATTTATAATTGAACTTATTGATGCCAAGAGGTTAATTAATAATTTGAACATAAATAAGCCACACAAGCACAAAACTTGTCCATTATAATGGAAATCTAGAGTATAACAAAGAAACAAATAAATTCTCATTAACTCAAAGGATTAAATATCAAGTGATGCAGGAAAGTATAAACGAAATAAAGTATTTCTGTAAATGGAACTTGAGTTATAGGCCCTGTAACCAAGGTCAATGCAATCATAGCTGGAGATAATAAAAAAGACACTTTTTATAAAGAAAGGAATTTTGCATTCATTAAGAATTACAGAGATTTGCAGGAAATAAATATAAGCCATTTGTGGGAATTTCAAGAAGTAGTATTCATTTATGGAAGTCTTGAAGTTTGGAATCTATGATCACAAATGGTAGGGTGTTGTCAAATTAATTCTCAGTATGGAAATTCAAGAATAGGTTTTATTAGGCACATCAGAAAATAACCAAGCTTTAGCATAAATGCTGAACATTCTTGGGATTTGAAGATTTCTGTTTCTCAATTTTGTTCCACTGATTTATTTGACAATTTTGTTTTATATGTATAGAAATCAGAATGAAATTCTTTACCATTGGTTTTAAAATCCATAGTTTTATTATATTCTAATTTGTTAAATATATTTTCCATCAATGCACTGGACAAATTTACAATATTCACAAATTTACATATTTTTTTCTTTTTAATCATTTCATCCCAAGCAAGGCAATAAAGCCACTAAGAGGCAAGGCAGTTACTGAATGTGAGAGACTACAAGAAAAAAAACATTAAAGAGAGAGAAAAATAAAAGAATAGGAATTAAGAAGTGAGAAGATAACAATTGATATTGCATTTAAATTTTGGAAGATCAAAGTTGATTGGAAAGCAAAAAGCTGGAAGGGAGTTTCACAAGCAAGAAGTGTGAGAGAAGAAATTGTTAGCATAGAACTTATCATTGCATATAGCCATTTCAACTGTAAAATGATGAGACATTGTCACCAATCTAATAGTATGTTTAAATTCATAAAGTTTAGGTATCAGAGATAAAAGTAATATTAATTTTGCATTATGCAAAAATGTGATGAGGGAAAAAGGGAGATAGAGGAAGGCTGGTGTTCAATTTGTCTTATCTTAAATTTAGCTAGCAACAATTACTGACCCAAACATACTACAGTATTCCTTAAACTAAAACAACACATTCTTACTTACCAATCTTACTATAGCTACCATAATACCTCAAAGTAATTTCTGGCAAGAGAAATTGTCTACAATGAACAATAAATTTTCCAGCAGCAGACCTAGCAAATGATTCAATATAATTTTTCTACTTCATGTTAGTAGAAAACATTAACCTGAGAATTCTCCAATTCTTAAGCATAACACTCATTACAAAATACCTTTAGAAGAAAATATATTTCTAATCATAAGCAGAGGCAGAAGCGGGGAGTAGAGGGTGCATGCCCCCTAAAATTTCTGAGAAAATATTTTTTGTTGAAAAGTAGATAAGGTAAGGTATAATGAGTGAAGACAGATTTAACCCACTTGTTCTTTTGTATTTTCACAAAGACATTCAGTTAGACTATGATAAAATTTTATACTTCTCTGCAAATAAGAATTCACAAAAATTGACTACAGTAAATCCTCTTTTATAAACACTACATAATCACACATTGAATATAAAAGTTTGAATTTATAATTTTACATGCCAAATAAATAAAAGAAAATGCAAATTTAAAATTATATATATATATATATATATATATTCAAACATATATTGTTAAATATAGCAGACAATGAATGACTAAACTCCATATATTTACTTTAATTTCGGGAGAAAATAAAGACAAAAATTGTCTAACATTTTGATATTTTTTTATTATGCTGTACCTTGATCTAAGCTTTTGGCTCACATGAGTCATCTTCAGAGTGGTTATACAGACATTTAAACAAAGATATTCACCATCAAAGATGATATTCTGTTATGTTGACATAGAGGATTGTTATGCGACGATAACAGTTGTGGAATAGCAGACACAGGTTGTAAGTTCATGATGTGGTTCTATGATGTTGTACCACATGAAAGAACAAAATATTAATGACAGAATCATATGTCTAGATGCAATGTAATGTGTTCTGACAAATTTGAAATATAATTTTGTTGAATGTGGGTTGTTTTGTTTTAATGTAGATGGCCTTCAATATCTGAAGGTACTGTATGTATGTGTGACTATTGTATCATCAACTAATAACTGTCTAATATTGTGTACATGGTTATGTTTTTCTAAGAAATGTTGTTTAATAGAACCAAGATCAGAAAGGTGACAGATAAATCTACGAGAGAGTGTGGTAGTAGTAAAACCAATATATGTAGTGGGTTCGCTATTAGTATCAGAGACACAATCTCTAAACAGACATGTAAATTGATACACTACATTGGTTTTTTTTGTAGAGGATTTAGTTTTGTGGTTGTAGGGTTATTAGAGACTATGAGGTCAATTGTTTTAAATTTTTTATAATATATGATGAGCTTAACTTGTTTATTATTATTAATGGCTTTAACATTACTACCTATTATGTTTTTGAGTGTTTTTTCACCATGTTTGTAATTATTATGCATTAGGTTACAATAATTAATAATGTTATGTTTATTTTGATGTACAATATTATTATTAATATTATCAATTTTGTTAGAGGTATTATTAAGTTTATTGAGATACATTTTAGTTTGTTGATCAATAACAGAATTAGGAAATCCATTATTAACAAGTGTTTGTTTAATGTTATGTAATTCTTTATAGAATATGGTTTTGGAAGAAGATATCATTTGTGTGTGTTGGATTAAGTTTTTTATAATGGCTAACTTATATTGTTGGAAGCATTCACTATTATAATTAAGAAGACATGAGTTAATGCTAGTGGGTTTCCTATGTAGAGAAGTAGTAAATTTATGTTTGATGGAATCAATAAATACATCAAGGGATGGAATTTTATTATCAATATAATGTTATAGTGTAACTTTGAGGAGGAAGTGACTTTCAAATTTGTTTTAACTTGTGTAATTTGATCAATATTTTTAGCTAAAACAAAAATGTCATCTATGTAGGGGATTTATTAGTGTCATTAAGTATTTTATTTTCTAAATGTGCCATATAATAATTAGAAAAAAGGGGGCCTAAAGGAGATCCCATCGCAATACCATCTATTTGAGTATAAATATTACCTAGGGGGTTGTGAAAAGGTACTTGAGTGGTTCATGCTTATAATAATTTTTTAAAAATAGTGGGTTTGATACTGATGGGTGGGATTGTATACATCATGGATAATGATATCAATCATTTCATAGATGCAGACATTAGAAAATAAATTCTGTACATCCAAAGATGCGATTATTTGATTGTTTGGTTTTGCAGCATGAAGAATTTGTATAAATTCATTTGTAGAGTTAATACAATATTTACTTGGTAGGTAGGGAGTAATTAATTTGTTAAGGGTTTTTGAAAGGTAATATACTGGTGTAGGTATTTGTGAAATGATAGGTTGGAGTGGATGAACTTTTTATTGATTTTTAAATTTCCATAAAGATAGGAGGTTGATAGTCATCTATAATCTTTTTAAGTTTATAAGATTTATTTATATATATATATATATATATATATATATATATATATAATGAACACTCTCTACTCATTTCTATACCCTAATCACAGAATTTAAAATTTTGAATTGAGATTTTTACTGAGGAACATGCCACCAGAACAGAAAATGCCGGATCCCCCACTGAAAGTGTAGTAATTCTAGAATAATAGTATAATAATATGACTTTATAACAACATTAACTTATGCCCACTTTTTGAATTGAACAGAACCAGCTAATGGTAATGTTGTGTACTGTAAATGCCTAGAACTAGAGAATGGGTTAGCTATATTGTTAATCAAACAATCACTATATTCACAAGTCAGTGCTGATATGAAGTCATTCTAGAGACAAACATACTAATTACAGCCACAAAAAATTATTGAAAATATAGTCCATAACAAAAAGAGCTATTAACATATCTAATATTATTCAAATACTGTTGTTAATTGAGATACAATATTTTTCATCCATGATCATACAGTTATAACCACAGTTGAGATGTAAACATCTGGTATGGTAGATCCTATCTGAAAGGAGAAGGATACACATATCTCTCTCCAGAGATCATCAATGGGGAGCAAGAAAACTAAAGGAGGCAGCTTATATGTGCCTGCTAACCAAATTTATGAGTTGGACTACCATGGATTTCAAAATTATGTGTTTTTTTTTTCTTTTTTGAGAGCTGCCATGATTGAAAATAA